GAGTTCGAGGCTCGGGTGGTGCACCACTTGGGGCTGGGTATGACTGGCTGACAATGGCTAATAAACCAGAAATGGCCATTCGAGTCACCCTTGTCTTTGCCGGCAATACTATCCTCCAGAAAGTAGCAAGTAAACTAATTTTTTGGAAAGATCAGTCAAGATCATGCAAGCCGTTGCTGTACGATCGCGAATGTATGTTAGTTTTCATCGATGAAAACTGACAAAGACGTAAACAAGGACAATTCACGCAATTTGCAGTCTAACACTTTTACAATTCAGTTCACAATGCAGCAACGAATGCTCAAACAGTTGTGCATTCCATCAAGTGATGAGAGTGAACGCCTAAGGAAGCTGAAACCGTTTCATTCGTATGAGGCGTTCACTAGTGACATGAAAACAGCCAGACGGACCAAAGTCATACAGTAATTTAAGCTTCTACTGTAATAGAACCACTTACCATCTAACAGACGGCTCCCAAACATAACGAGCAAATAGGAAACAAAGGGCGGGGGCGGTGAGAGTATGTACGCCTGTACACATCAACTGCATGCTGATCATGATGTAATGTAGCAAATTTTTACTTTTCCTGTGTCTTCTGCAACTACTGTATCATTGATGAAACAGTGCTTACGTGCTGCGCCTGTGCGCCCCTGCAGGTGTGCGTATGCTCACCAAGACCTAACCTGGCGGTCTTTACGCGCGCATGCCCAACAAGCCTGCTTTGTCTTGCGTCTGCTGGCGTCTGCGCTTTTTGTAGAAGAGACACGGTCGTCGTCGTGCAAAAATCCACTTTCAAACATACAATGGGCGTGTTTACATTCAAATGCGGAAAATAGGCGCTCGCTCCGGGCAATTTTTCGCAGCCATTGTTTTGAAGGGGGATCCAGTTGCTTGTGTCAGTGGGTAATGCCACTGATACTAGAAGTTAGCAGAATTCTCCGCATCTGTCTTGTCATATGCGCCTACCACACCTCCACGCGCATTGCTTCGCGATCTGATTTTTCGTCTTGCCTCCCGTTTAGTTCTGCACCAGAGGAACTACCGGGTAGATGTGAGTTATCATGTGTAAAATCGCCGTGCAGAATGTAAGGATTTGGAGTGTTTTTGGTGATCTAGAGCCTACGAGACGTAGTGGCATGTGTATTTTCGTTTCTAAATTATATTTGAACAAAAAAACGAGACGCTAAGTTGAGAAAACATGGAAGCGTAATAAATTTGGCAGAGCCTTCATACGAACCGCAGTGTAATGCAAAAAGGAAAATCTTACTTCCTACGGCATACAGAGGAGAGAGTATCTGCGAAATTTTCACAAATTATGCTGTAGTTCTCACTCTATTGTTATCTGCTAACAGTTTTTGCAATTACATCGAACATATGTTGTGCAGAGAAGGAGTTCAAAGGGTAATATCTGTAAATTGGGGTATGTAAGCGTTGATTTGTTCCCAAATTATGTGACCAAACATGGGTCTCATTCACTATTCCGTCAATGGGACCCACAGCTTCACGGCTGCATAAACCTTCCTCCAAAACATTGAGTTTACTCTCCTCTTCAGTGAGAGGAACAGATTTCGAAACACCCTAAGTCACATCTGCATATACACATTGACCTTGAAAAGAAGGGATAAATGCAATATTCGTAGTCGCTTTTCGAACGGAAATTAAGGGCTGTTCTCATGTAAGAAAAAATCGTGATTTTGCAAGGGTGTGACGGCGCGGTGACTGCTGCTAGCCCATTCCCACCAAAGAAGGACTATACACCGTCTGAAAACCCTTGAAACTTTGAAGTTCATGCGAACGTCGATCCTCGGATTCATGTGCTGCGAAAAAGAGGTTATCAACCAGGCTAGTATATGTTACCAGGATAAAGTGAGCCGCGACAGCATCGAGGTTGTTTGTACGAGCGGTAGACTTTGTTCTAGGTGAATTTATCCAGGGCCAGTGACGGCAAGATGAACAGTTTCCAGTCCAGTAATATAAAAGGTTCGAAAAAACCTACGCACTGAAATATAGATAAGCAGGAGTCGAAAACCTCCTCTGAGCCTTTCTCTATAGTACTTCGTTTGTCCGAAAACGACATCCGCTAAAGGCCAGTCGTCTATTCAATTCAGCATGGTATTCATCGAACACTGGCCAGAATATTTATGTGTAAAGGAGAAGGCTGGTCGTGCACTGGATCTTTTTGTTTATTGTTCTGAGCTTTCAGAATCGCACAGGATTTCGTTGACAGAGATAGCAGCAGCAAAAAGGAAGAGCAATAGTATGAAGTGTACATCAACCAATGACGCACTTCACTGTTATCTCTGACGCTGAACTCCTGTACGAGTTTGAAAGCTCAGAACAATTTTCCTGGAATCTCCTGGAATCCAAACCTTTACATTTATTGGAGAATAGTTGTGGTCTTACCAGTTCATGTAAACTTTAAACTTGTCACTGTTAAAAACCAGCAAAATCGGTAAATCTGTTTGCTTCATCTGACATGTTCATTGTCCTCAATATCACTTCTACTGAGCATATCCCTTCGCATGCTCCCCTCTCGCCTCCCGAACGCGCGAACATCGTTCATAGTATCCTTGTGTCTAAACCTGCTGTACGGCAAGCTCCTCCGGCACAGATATTTCGTACGACAGCTGGCCATTTTTAACAAACTGAAAAGCTTCAAGAAAATTAACTAACCTGCCTATGCTGCACCACAAATACTACAGCTAAGCTTGACCCTTAGCCTATGGTAAGCACAACCTTTTCGCAACACGGATTTGGAAGAAGTTGGTCATAAAGGCCTCAGCAAAAAACCCATGGCTGAATGAGTTAGAGTGTTAGACTTCCATTCAAAAGGTCGCAGACTCGTACCTCGGGTACTGCACCACTTAGAGTTAAGCATGGCTGTCTGATGGCGACAAATAAACCCGAATAATCAATTTCATTCCCCCTTGTCTTTTTCGTTAATTTTGATCTGCTAGACAATTAAAAAGTGAGCTGTGTTACCGATATGGATAGGAGAGGTGTAAAGGGCCATTATTGGTTTACCTGTCGTCGTCAGCCGTTCGTATCGTATCTTCATGACAAATCGTTGAATGTCATGCTTACATGATTTTATAACACGCTTTATGAACCCTACAAGACATTTCAAAAAATTACACAATCAGCACCTAAATAACCGAACTATGTTCCTTCTGTCCATTTAAAAGCAGAACAAAGGTACGGGGCGTCGATCATTCAAGAACGGAGAATGGCACACTTGGGATTGGATTTCGCTCTAAAATCCAGAGTCTGCATGGATGCTTGACACAAATCAGCTTTAATAAAGTTTTTAATTACAGACTCCTTAGACTAAAGAACCGCCCATTCAAACTGAGGACGGTTAAGAGAACAGAGGGTTGTCCCTAGCGAAATCCGGGACAAAAATAGACGTGTGATTTTTCTAAGACCGAATA